TGATCAGTATCTAGCCAATGCAATTAGCCAATTACTGGCCAGTTACTGGCTAATTTCTAGTTTATTTTCTACTTGAGATGAAGGTCCCATATAAGTCCCATGTAGGTTACCTATAGGGCACCTGGGTCAATTTCCCATGGGACATGACCCATATAGGAATATACCTATGGGAATTCGCGGCAGGGCTATTTGTGTCAATCTATCTTTATCTTTCAATAGATGTAAAATAAGGAAATAGAGTGACTCAAATAGCACTATTAGCATCTTTCCGAATGCTAACAATTTCAAAGCTGGATAATTTGATCAAGAAGAATATGTAAACAAGAAGAATATTATTTATTTCTTATTGAAATATTTTTGTAAATTACATTATTAATATTTCGATTGCTACACAATAATCATCAATTATTGTTTTTCTTATTACTTTACATCTTTATATATAAATAATTGTGAAAATTGTAAATATTTATAGTCATTGCAACTAGATATCAACTAATCATTGAAAATTTAAAATTATTACTTGAAATGTATATTTTATTCATTCAAAATACAATAAAATTCACAATAAGTATGTTTATTTATTATTATTTAATCTTATTTTATAATTTAATTTTTCGCTGTGATTGCTTTGATCTTATTACGTATTTTAAACAAGTTTATGATATATGTTTGTAGCTAAGGTTTTTTAACCTCTTTTATTTCATTTCTTTAAATTACACGCCTTTGTACTACCCAAAACATGGCGGAGGGTCACGTGACTGGGTAACACAACATCAAAGGTTCCGACTTAACTGTCGTAACTGTATATGGTTATGTATGGTTAAACTGTGACTGTGGGCTGCAAAGAGTTTATATACCTGTCAGTTGTCAGTTGTCACTTGTCAGTGCCGTCGCCCGTCAGTGGAGTAGTGGATTCTGGACAGCGACAACAGTAAGAAATTTTTAAGTAGGAGCTTACCGGCTTCTTCGATTAGAAATTAAGGCATTTGATTGAAAGAAAAGTTAATAAAGGATAACAATTTCGCGATAGCGATTCTTGTTCGTTCGTCAGTAAATTTATGTATAAAATCTCTAAACCTTTCTAAACGAATGCGGCAAATTCTGTATTCTGCTAAGGTTAGAATAACTACAAATTTCGTAAATAGTGATAAACCACTTAGTTATTGGAGGTAATCGTTTAATGTTTGTGCTCAGAAATTTAATTAAAAACTTTTTTCTTTATTTTACAGCTGATATCGATCTTATTTCGATAGAATTTTTTTATTCATCGTAAATTGCTAAACGTTCCTAACCTGCAATGCGGTAGAAATTTAATGTTCTGAGTGTTAACCAATGAGTCCTGGACGTTAACCAATGGAGACCAAAGTGACCAGTAAAACCAGCAGCTTGAAAGCTCTTCTGCTACGAGCTTGGCGTGAGCGCTGGACCGATTTGCAATGGGGTATCAATATCAAGACGGTAAGCGTCCGCACTTCGTCTCTGACGATCAGTGTGCTTTCTGAAATTATTAATGTTTTCTAAAATCCTCAGATTCTACCAAGAGGGGTAAGCGGTGATGTATACAACTTGGCGGACTGTATATTGCAACAAGCGTTAGTGGGACTGGGGCCCAATCAGTTGGTACTGTCATACCTGAAGCACTCGCTAAGCTCTCAGGTTCGTTCGTTGCATTTTTCCGGAGAATATCTTAGTTTTTCGTGCACGTGACTGGTGTGTGTCATTTACATTTCACGCCGTCTTGCAGTTGGTGTCGTACGCCGCGGTGTTGCAGCGAATAAGTAAATACGATGCGTTTCACAAGCCTCACTGCATCGTGAGTCTGCTGGAGTTCCTAGAGTCCATTCAGGTCGGCATCACGTGCCGTGGCAAGCCGGAGGAGGACCTCCTAGCGGCGGCGGTCTTGTCCATTGTACATTGGCTCCTGCAGTGTTACCTGCACACCCTAACGAAGGCGCCCCAGGGCAATCCTCTCACTCCGCATCCGAGCGAGCTCATGGACAAACCTGCCAGTATCTTGCACCAGATGCTGAATTCCGACTTTCTGTGCGCGATGATGTATCTGGCTAAATACGATGACAAAGGTGTGCCTGCGAGGCGTGATACTTTTAAGATTTATATGGAAGATTATTCACGAACGTTTTGCGTTCATTTATGTTTTTTTTATCTTTTTTTAGATCTATACGTAGAAGTTGTGAAGAAATGCCAGGAGATCGAGACACTGCTGAAGACGAGCACTCAAAAGTCCGTGACGCCGATAGAGGATTCTCTGAAGAAGTTGTGCAATCTGGAGATAGAGAGCTTTTGCCCGGAGAAAACCAAAATGGAGTCCATCACCTACTGCCTGCAGCCGCTCTTCACCGTTCAGGTGTTACTGAACCCCAGCACCGAGACTACCGTGTACGTCAATCAGCTGCTGATGGTGCAGAGATTAAAGAGCTATACGAACGTGCGGCTGTACTGCGAGATCATCCGCGCCGGTCTGATGTGCCTGCACAACGAAGCGCTGACGGTCAAGGAGTCGCAGTGGGGTGCCTTCATGTATCTGAAGATACCTCAGATATTGAAGGAGTTGCACATCGCTAATCTGAACGGTCGGTAAGACTGTGTATGTGTGTGTGTGTGTGTGAATGCCGAGGAAACTTCGGATGATTTTCACGTCTTTGCATCTCTTTGCAGGTGACGAGAAGTTCGAATATTCGCAAGATATCCTGGATGTGTTCGAATTGCTGCCTCAGTTCACGCCCTTGCTCGATAGAATAGACACCTCGACCTCGAACAATTTCGCGTGCAATTACGTGGAATGCTTGGTGAACGAATTGCAGAAGGTGAACCTCCTGACGGAGAAGCAAGCGAAGCAGATAAGCTCTAGGAGGTATACACACCTCCTGGAAACGAATTTTTTATTGTTTTTATTTTTTTTTATGAAACAGTCGGACTTTATTTGCGATTGTCGATTGCAGGGAGGGAGCGACTATGGCATCGGCAATTCCGATCGTAGTTGTACGCGCCGGGCCGACACTGAACGGGATTTTAAGGACGCTGAACGCGGATGTCACGAAAATTCAGGAGGGCCTGCTGAATGTACTGTATCAAGTGTTAACGGGGAAGAGCTTCGAATTGATGTTGGCCGTCGCTACCGCTGAGGGAGAACTGAAGACCTTCGTTATGAAACTCATCAAGTTCACTGAATGTAGCAAACAGATTAACGAACCCGTGCCTGACAAGATGGCAGCGACGAGAGCAATGTTGTTCGACGTATCGTTCCTCATGCTATGCTCGATCGTGCAAATGTATGGCTCCGACGTAAGTTTGGCGTTAACAACGCGTTTCAAATTTTCATACACGGAGAGAGAGAGAGAGAGAGACTTTGTACGCTGATTGATTACCCGTTTCGTCGTCGGAAAATTGATTTTCAGGTCGTCCTAGAGGAAGGCGGAGATTCGTTCTTCGAGCAATGGGTGCGCGAATGCATGCCGGAGAAGAACAAGCTGAAATCGCCACAGAGGATGCTGCAGAACGTCGATCCGACGAGGGTGGACGCGCTGCTGGCGCAGATCAACTCGCCGGATCCCGATTTCAAGTCGAGCAACTTGAAGTGGCACGTCGTATGCCAGTCGGCGATGGGCGCGGTGAAGGAGCTGCTCTGCGCGTGGGAGAGCGGGGTGATGAGCGCCGGCGAGGTGAAGAGGGCACTGGACGGTCTGCGTGCCACAGCCTGCTGTTTGCCGGTCTGCGCTTCCGCTTGGCTGTGCGCGTACATAAACACCACGCACCAGGACGCTCTGTGCAAACCCATGAATATGGTCACTCACTTCCTGGCGCCGGTTCCGGGTGACGAGCAGGACAATCTTAAGGACAGGTAAGAAAAATGGAATAAATGTATGCTGAATTATAGAGCATTAATTCCATTTTTTTATTTTATTTTATTTTTTATAAAGACACATTTATACATCTGGCTTACGATTTTTTCTCCATCCTTTTCTTCCAGATCCATCTTGATGGTCCAGATTATTCGGAAAATGCTACACGACGTGCACCCGCCCCCACAGTCGAAAACGAAGGTCGTGGCGCTCACGATGTCACACAGGTATTATGGTATTTTCCGAAAATGTATTATCGTTTTTTTTTTTTTTTTTGGAGAGGTTGTCATTTTCATGGGGTTTTTATACACTTGCAGTATTATGTCACGGCAACCATTACTGGAACAGTTGGAATCCGTGTGGCAGAACATAAATCAACACGGATGGATAGACGTACAAACCGCGCAATCGATGGAGTCTCTATTGAATACTGGTGGCTCTTTGTGGTTCGTCACGTATGTGGTCAAGGAAGTGCTGAAGTATCGTTATCAACAGGAACTGGATCAAGCTGCGGATCTGGCCTTCGCCATCTTCCACCTCGACATAGAGAACTGCACTCTGGATCTCATAAATCACATAATACCGCAATACCTGTACAACTCGATGCAGTAAGTCCATCTTTATTGCCTCGCGAATTTTGCGATCGAATTTTTAAATTCATATACATGTTACACGTAAATTTCATTTCGCGCAGAAGTGACGAGCTTGTGGAACCGCAGTCGTCCATCCTGGCGAAGTTGTGCGTGTACTGCATATTCTCCACCTTGGAGTACAACAACTCGAATCCGTATCGAGGAAATAACCGTAAGCGTGTGCGCCGCGACCTGGACGCGGACGAGCTGGACGCGCTCGGCGTAACCAACAAACTTTTGCGGCTGAACGAGACGGGCGAGAACGTTCCCATATTCAGTTCGCAGAGTCCGCAAGCGCAGGGCTCGAGCAACGGCCAGAAGTCGGTGATCGTACTGAGGGATCCGCTTATGACAGCGCTGAACAACCTGTTTACTGTATTCGCCTTTCTGGCCGGCAGAGACGGTGAGGTATCTCAACAGACTCACTTCATATTCCAGTTCCTGCGACTTATGGTGCAGTGCGGAAAAGACAGGACTCGCATCGTATTACAGGGAATGCCGCAAACGTTGGTACGTTTTGACATTTGTAGCCGCGCGGCAACAATTTTACTTTAACTTCTTAATATCGAACGTGTGGAATAAATAAATTATTGGCGTTGAAATAAATTATGTGACGAATTTGGTCTTCCTAAAAATATATATATATATATATATTTTTTTTTTCATTCGTAAGGATAAGTTGTTGGTAATAATTTTCTATATCTGTTTTTCAGGTACCCTGCCTTCTCAAAGCATTGCCCGAATTATTCACGACTGATATACTCCTGAGATTATATGACATACAAACGACGATCGGGCGCAAGGTTACCGCGCGAGACTTATGCATGTTGCGAAATATTAAGCTGAAGTCCATAAAATAAAGATATAATTGTCGCAAAGTAGAAAATGTATCTTTTCACGGATAAAGATTATACCGTTGACGAGGGTATTATATAATTACATAAATATTTCTATAATGTACAAATACTTTAAATTTGCGTGGCATTTGAACTGCTATATTAGCAGGGCAACCGATAAATGTAATGTACTTGTACTTGTAAACGTCTTAAATTATTTTAACAATTTATATGAAAAGATTGCCATATGGGACAATCGTTTGCGCCGTGATTTACATACTGATCGTAACAGTGAAAATAAATTATATTTAATAATTGTTGAGCTAACTTCACTACTTGTTATGTATTAATTTTATAAAAACAGAAAAAGGATACAGTTTTTGAAATATAACGTTTGTTATAAAATAATTTTTCCGACATCTATTACGCTCTTTAATAAAGTTTTTCGATATCTATTATGACTTGTAACATTTGGAACTTGTACTGTTTTATACTGCTTTGAAAAGATCTCGACATCGGTCTACAATCATGTTTTTAATTTATGACGCTTAGCTGTCAAAGTATACGTATAGAATAAATGTTAAACTTATTTGTCAGATACGTTAAAACAATTTTAGAATGAAGTAAACAAGATACCTAAATGTGAATACTTAAAAACACGATGCAGTAATGCAGTACGTTTGCGTTAAGGACTGAAATTTAAATAATTTGTATTTTTATTAATAAAAATTATACATAGAGAATATTGTTATTTATATGCAAACTTCAAACTGATTGCATTTGTATGTATAATTGAAGAAGAGAATGTGAAAGGAATAAATTGAAGAGAATTTTCATATTTAATGTGAATACGTGTTTTCCTAGCAGATTTCTGTCGAAAAAAAATCCTACTTTTCAAGAGAATCTACTCTTCATATGCTTCCGCTTTTCTCATATAGTGTTTCGCTATGGAACCGACAAATACGTTTAAAGCAACAAAACATTTTTTTTTAAGAATCATATTATTTCATACAATTTTCATATAGATTCTGTGCCATTTATAATAAGAACTTCATATGTATCAAGTCTATATTCCACTTCTTAACAGTAACTATTCTTACAAAATATCTGGACAAATTTCTTAAAATCTAGCTTATAGTCAATGATACGCTAAGAACTGGAGTTACATCGGAACGATGTGCATCGACAACAGTACAATCTACGTATAGTAAAAATGAGTGTCATAAGTAATATAATAAATATGCACAGTAAGAATGAAGTACAATTGTAAAATTCACAGTTTACAGGTAGTTTCAATTTATGCTGTACAACGTTCACCTAATCTATCATATTAATAATATATTATATGTGCATATTAATATATTTATATAATTATATAATCTTTATTATACAATTTATATTATATAATTATATAATATTCTATATTTTAATATAATTATATACTATATAATAATTATATATTATATAATATATAATTATATTATTATATTATGTATAGATTGTAAATACTTTTTATCAATTACTTATTTTCATTTTCCATATTCCAACAGCTTTCTGAGAATCTGAAAATCAGTATCAGTTATAAAATGTAAGAAAATATATGTAGACAAGAAAATCAAATAAATAATTTTAATTATTTATTTCCTCATTCGTTGATAGCACGAACGATCAGGCACGAACTTACCGCATCTTACAGCCACGGGTGCCACGAGGGATCCATTCTGCAGAGATTGTCATGGCTATTGGCAGCGGCTACCAATGTGCTGACCTTACTGTCAATACCATCGAAATTCGCCAAGGAATTCAATCTATTGACGATCGCGTTGACCGCGCGAGTCACCATCGTTATCAAGAGTTCGCCCTTCGGATCGGTCGGCGCTTGCGATGCGCCCTCGGCGTCCTCCTGCCGTTTGTGATCCGCGATCACTTCGTCCCGTAAAATCGCGCGGAGTATGGCGTTCAGTTGAAACGTGGGTTGAACCAAACAGCGTGCTGTGGCGATCGCGCTAGCAGTCAACGGTCCGCAAACTCCTGCGAAAGATTAATTTCGTAGAGTCTGAGAGAACTTTTCGCGACCGTCTGCGCGGATGTTGGACTTACAAGAAATACTTATATATAATATTTAAAATTATATCCAAGTACAAGAGATATCTTTGTATCAAGATACTTTTTATTGCAGCAACAGACAAATAGATTGTTATGTAGATTATTGTGTTTGACTGACCTATAGTCGTGAGAAACTCGAAGATATTGGGCGTCAGGCGGAAGGGTACCGGTCTATTCGCGTCCAACTCTCCGGAGGTATCGTCAATGTCAAATTTGAAGTACGCGATGTTGATTAGACCAGAATCCTGATGCACGTACATCATGTCGGGATTAAGTCGTGTAAGATGAAGCACATATTCGGCAAAACATGTTAGAGACAGTTGTAGAGTGAACTGAAAACAGAGAAAGATAAAGGTGAGAAAAAATGCATACGTTGGTTTTGTACCAATGATTCTATTTTTCAATTATCGTTTCTGTCTTTACTTCTTTCGGACAACTTAGAGATATTTCTTTTTTTTGGCACTAAAGAATACTAATAGAATAAAGAATAATTTTGTGTTTAAACTCAAAAAGTTTTATGTTACAATCGACGAATTTATGCTCTTTAAATCACTAGTATTTTTCACAATGCTTACCATTTTTCTGAACGTCCAATAATCGGTGGCGCCGGGAAATGTCTTCATCGCCCAATCTTTGAGCATGGTTTTGGAGACCATTGTGGTCTGCACCTCCTTCAGAATATCCCGCAATACCTGATGACTCGCTTGCGTGCCTCGCGCTTGCACGGCGGCCAATTTCTCGTAATATCTGGCGATAGGTGCGTCGTGCTCCATTCCCAGCTTGGCGCAGCCCTGCTTGTAAATGTCCAGGAGAGAAATCGCTGCCGGGTTGTCCTCCACGAGTCTCATCTGTGGCGAAACCGCAACGAGACGTGGCACCGTAAAGTGCAAGAAGCGTCGCGACGTTTCCTTCTGCTTAGTCAAGTAGTGGTTCAGCATGCGCAGCAGTTGTAGCAGGCGCTCCTCACGTCTGGCATCTCCCAGACCGGCGTCGTTGACTACTAAATACGGATAGAGACGACCGTTGTGACCGCGGATACGTAATCTCCTGGCGGCCGTGTTGTGTCGTTGAACCACCTCGACACGCGGCACAAATCTCGCTATCTTCACGGAATAATGCGAGTGCTGAAAGAAAGGCATAAAATTTGAGAAAAGATTAACAAAGCAGACGCCTTCTCTCTTGGATCTCGCGAATATTACTTTTATCGTCTGAATAAAAATATAAGATTAAAAGTGCCAGATATTAATATGCAATTGGATATCTTTAATTTTAAATTATCGGAATATAGAACAAACTCCGTATTCTCAATTTCACCTTCGTTCTCATATTTTAATGGCGTATAGACAGAATAAAACTTTTATTGTGTAATCATGTCTATGTGTGTCCATCGAAAATGGAGAGCTTTAATCGAAAAAAAGAGTTGACTCTCTTACCCTAGGTATCAGAAATTCACCGGGTAGTTCGACTTCTGCGGTTTTCAAGCTGAAGTTACTCAAAAAGCGGCATTTCTCCTCAATTAAGAAAGACCTGTAGAAGAATGCGAATCTTTAGTTCACGAATCGTAAAAAAAAGGAAGTCATTACAGAATAATTAAAAAATAAAATATTACTTTGGCAATTGTTTCGTTTTTTCTTCGAGTATCTTTATCCACTTCTTCAACTTGCTAATGAGATTGTGCAGCAGTCTAGCGCCAGACACTGTAAAGTCGAAATCACTTGCGAATTGGTTCTTCATTTTATGAAAAACAGGATCCTGGTGGGTAGCTTGAGCTCTTCTGGCCAAGGATTCTGATGCCGCCGAACTAAACGAACTGCTCATATTTTGCGAAGGCGATATGTTTTCTGCAAGTCACAAAGTACATATTAGAAAAAAATCGTTCTCTTTGTCTAATTCTCGTTTTATAACTAATACAGAAAGCAAATGGATTTACCAATGCCAATACCAAATGTTGACACGAGTTTTTTCACAAAATTTAATGTATGCGGGGTTATTGTAGCTTCACTAACTGCGCCACGGTTCTCGTATGCTATAGCATAGCACTTCGCAAGTCCCTGTCGCAGTTGTCTAAGAACCTCCTCATACCATGTCTCTCGGAACCACACCATCTGACATATAAATTACAATGTTATTTTTTGTACAGGAGATTAAAATATTAACTTTTCGCATAAAAGAATATATATTCTTTTTTTTGTACAGAAAATTAAAATTTTAACTCTTGTACAAAATATATATATATTAAAATAAAAAATATATATATATTTTGTACAGGGGTTAATATTTTAATTTCCTGTAAAAAAAATATATACATATATATTGTATATGTAATGTGCTGTATTTTTTATTATGTCTTATTATGCAATGTCGAAAAAGTAGAATTAAAAAAACATTATTCAAACCAACCTGATCGACTATGCCCTCCAAACTGGACAAAACAGTTGGATGGATGTCTCTCTGCATATGCATGATCTTTGAGCATCTCCACATAGGCGCCGTAGCACGTACTGTGTGGCTGGTTTCCGGTATTCCCTGCTGTGGGGGTACGTTACCCGTCGCGGTAGAGCCCCGATCTTCGACACCATCTTGACTCTTACCAGCAGCTAATTCATTGCTCTTGTATCGCTCTCTCTGTTCAATTTTTAACGTTAAGTACAGAGTACGGATAGAGAAATAAACTGCTTGTGGGAACATCCTTCCGACTTGACTCAGCAAATTCAGAATTACATTGCCCTCGTGGCGCACTAGGTACATCAGCAACTGCGGTACCCAGGGCAACCACTGGATGGCTGGCACACCTACGGCATATTTGTCCACAGTCTCCATGAGCGACGACTTGTCGTCGTCATACGTGAGCAACCATAGAATTTTTGCTATGTATTTCCTGGATTTTGATTCATTTTGATGCCTGCAGGCGTGCAAGAAGCATACAAGGGCGTTTATGCCGATGCTGATTTGGCGAGCGTCGCGTGTGAAAATATTTTCCAGGTAATCACCCCATAGAGACCAAGCCTTCACCAAGGTATCGTGTAATTGCGTCGCAGCGGAGAAGCTCTTATTTGCATCGTCCGACCGTCCTAACTGGGCCTGAAGCATGCCCTTCAATGCGTAAAACTCGGCAATCATTTCTTTCGTAAAATAACCCATATTCGTAGAGTCCAATACTTCTAAACCTTCCTGCAACTCGTTCTGTCCTCCCATAGTAGCCATTTGCAAAAAGCACTTTACTTGCTGCCTGATTTTTTGGAAACAATCAACCATAGGCACACTTGTGGGTATTGTATAAATCTTGGCCAAAGAATCCAAGCACACACTGCACATGTTCTGTTTTCTCGCGATTTTGCCGAAATGAATGATCGCTTGCATAGACGCATGAACGCCGAGCAACGAGTGATTGACCCCTTGCTCCTGTTGAGAATCGTAGTGACTGGAGATGAAGGTATAGTGATGCTGCCTCCAGGTGAAGATATCCGACCAGTGGCTGAGGTCGTCGGCTATAACGGGTAACCGATTTCGCCAAGTCTTCACGATGGCCTTCATATCGTGTAGCGAATTGCTCCTACAATGTAGCAGTCCTTGATGAATTTGCATCGCCTCTTGAAGCTCCATTATCTGTTGGGCCGCTTGTAGCAGCGGCTGATGGACATGGCTAACGATGTGAGGTAGTCTACGCCACTCACGCATACAAAGACCAGACGCGAGTTCTACGTAACGCTCAACAGTACTAAGATGCTGCTGATCCTCGTTATTGCACAACGTTACGAACCCACGATAGAGATTTATCTAGAAAAATATAGAAAAAATTGAAAATTTACCAGCATCTCTTTTTAGTACTAAACATAAATATATTTATACTTATGTTTAACATAAATATAAATATAAACATAAATATAAAACATAAATATATTTATATAACAAAATCGTGCTACAAAGTTTAACATCAGACCCGAAAGAAAATATAATTAAAAATATAATTACAAATATAAATATAATTATAAAGCTATAAACTACTTTTTTTTAAAGATTACTTTGTCATAATACCTTCCAGACCATTTCCCGTGGGCAATTGTGTTCCAGCTGTGTGAGAATCTCCTTCATCACCGGCCAATTCGAAAGACGCCATGCGCTGTCCAAGACGAGGAAGGGATTTTTGTAATTGCTGTGGCCGCCCAGTTCCATTAGAATCTCCCACTGATTCTGCTCTTTCAAAGTGCGCTCCCAATGCTTCTCCCAAAGAAGCATTTCCACATTGAGGTGGTAGGGCGCCGGGCCAGTTGGATAATCCTGCCGGAACTTGGACATGCATATCTCGTACGTCCCTTGCGCCTGCTCGAAGAATCCTTGCTGCTCCAACGCGATCGCGTTCAACGTGTCCTTGTAATGCGCTGGCCTCTTCTGCCACAGGCCCGACCACATGTCCTCCTCGCAGAGCGACGAGTACATCTCCGAGAGCATGTGCATCACCTCGTAATAAGGGGTGACGCACTCGACCTGCTCGCCCTCGTCGGGCGGGCGATACAAGTCGGGCTCGCTTTTAATCTTCGTATTACCGCCGTGACCGTCCGCCGCCATCTCGGCGCCCATCTGCTCCAGACTTAGCGTTATTCGGTGCCAGACGTTGTGCGATTTGCCTAGGTACTTCATCACGGGCGGTGGTATGGCCACCGGTGGATTGCAGTGCGCCAGCGACTCCAGGAAGGTGCCGAGCGCGCTCGGATGGCAGTCCTTCTGAATAACGTGCGCGCCACTGGCGACGAACGGCGGTATCTCCGCACTTATGGAATTGAGATGAGGCTCCTCTAAGACGGACCATACTCGCGGAAACATGTCCAACCAGACGCGCTCCGCCAGCCCCGTGTCCATGTGGCACAGCTGTGCGGTCGCCAGTAGCAGCTGCTCCGTTTTGATCTTCTTCGCGTTCTCCATGAACTGTATCTGCTTGTTGATCATCTGCGTCAGGCTGGGCTTCTCGGTGATCTCCTCGGTGGCGGTGGCGCTCGTGGAATCTGTCAGATTGGACATCCAAGCGTCCATCTCGAGGAACGTCTCCTTCGAGTCTCCTTCCGTTATTTCGGAAACCTGCGGTTTCTCGTCATGGCAATCGATACGACAGATAAACTGAGTTTGATCCTTGCTCTCCTTTTCCATGCCTCCCTGCATGATAGACGTGATGCTGGGCAGCAGGAGATCTTCATTGGTCATTTGTATCGAAGTGGTCGGACTGACGGTGGCCAGCAGCAACGCGATACACTGCTTTATCCAATAATGAGCTCCTATGTTCTCCCAGTTCTGACTGACGACGATGTACAAAATACGATCGACCAAACGCTTCTTCATCGAGCTGTCGAAGACCTCGAAGAACTTCGCCCTCACTTGCGGCTGTACACAACGTAGACCGGCTAGGAAAGCCTGTTCCAATTTACACGTCAGTTCCGTCAGCTTCAGACTCTCGTCGCGGTAAACGTAATTCACCAGCTCCAAGAATTGCCTGTTCAACTCCAGATCATCGGGGAAGCGTTTCTCGACGTACTGCATCATCTTCACCAGCAGAATGGATTTCTCGCGCAAACTGGGCGTCTGATTCATCGCGATGGTAGTTTTGTTCTTCATCCATTCCTCCAGTATCTTCGTGATGGCTTTCATCACCTTGACATCTTGCGTCTTCTCGATTAGGCCGACCAAAATAGTACCGATGAATGATTTGCGCATATCGACACCCATTACCGCCACGCGATTCTTCACTAGATCCAAACTAAGTATCAACAATTCGCTCGTGACAGGATTCGCTTCGGTCTGCGTGGAATGCAAATGTTCCTTGGCCATTTTATGCAATACTCTCATAAATGGAGTTATTAATCGATCGATATAACTGGGATTATTCGTGCAGGCTGCTTTAAGCATCATGAGCGTGCCAAAAAGCGAGCTCGGCGTAGCCGTGGTAGTCTTTTCATAAGTGGCCAGACCTTCGGCTATAAATCTGTTCACAGTCGTGTACAACGTGTCCAATTCCTCGTACTTAGGCGCTACATTCGGGGAGGCCTGTTCGGCCGGGAAGATCGTCATCAATCGCGAAAGAAGGCCGTGTACCAGACGTATAATTTTAGTGTTGCTACTGGCGATGCAAGCACCTATTCCACGTTGAAGTGGTTTAAAGCTTACGAGTATCTGCTCGCGCTTCATCACGCCCAGCAAAAACGTTAGCACTTCCAGTGCCGTGCTGATGTTACCAAAGTTGGGCTGGGTGCTGTCCACACTAGCGAGGACTTTGTCGAGCCAAGCTAACTTTAAATCGCATTGTTCAGCGACCCACACATCCGGTTTCAGGGCCATTTTCAGCAGAGCGACGCAGCGTCTGGATAACTGCTCGCCCGGATTACCGTGAATGGTCGTTACGTCGTTCACCTGACACGCCAGGCGCAGCAGGAAATTCAGGACGGCATCCGCGTGAGCTCTCTCAATCGGTTTCGCCGATCCCGGCTCCATTCTAGGTAGAATAAGAGGCACGGGGCTGTTACCGGACGGCCCTGCCTGCGTGCTCATGCGTTTACCAGATGCATCGTCGATAATCATGCGCTTAATAGTTAAACTCTGAACGGTCGTCCTGCTGGATTCTGTGCTTTCGGCTTCTTCCTTAATTCTATACAGCTCCCACTTTACGATAACTTCCGCCAACTCAACAGCTAGCCGCCGATGTTCTATGGTAGCGGTTGGAGTGCATCCTATACGTTGAATCGAGTTTACTATATGCTGAACCAGATGATGCCTGACCGGATAGTAAACTTTGTAGTGTCTCACAACTAGTTGTAAGATATGAGATAACTGTTGCATAGAGTGACCCTCTTCTACGATAATTTTCTTCGTCCAATGTGTCAGCATAGTATTGCCATCTTCCATCCGTACAGGCATCGCAGGGGTCAATATTTCCAGTGCTTGCCGAACAACATTACGCGCGTCCACGGCATGCGCCTTAAGCAAGCTATGGAATACCTGCAACACTATACGCTTGTGAATAGCAAATTTAGCGATTATGTGACTGAGAAGAAGATGACCGTGATATCTAGTAGTCGGATCTACGCAATTCTTGCCTAGCAGACAAGGCCAGGCAAACGTCATGAGACGACGCAGCTTATTTCCTTGCCTCTTGTTCGTAACATCGTGAATGTGCTGTGACGCCTGCTCCACTAGAAGACAGGAGAATTGCAACAGAGAGATGCGGACGCAGTCGGCGGAGCCGAACGGATTGTCCGGATCAATTATTTTGCCGATAAATACTGACACAACGTTCTCCGGATTGTCTTGATAAGGCATCGGCGCGCCGCCGACCAGTTTCGTACCTTCGCCCCGTTCGAAGCTCACCGCGAAACACGGAATTATGATTAGCTGCAGAACGTTGGCCTTCAGCTCCTGTGACATGTTGTTCGTGGGAAAATGTTCGACGAAGTGGAAGAACGCACTTCGCTTCCATTCAACCGTGTATTCCTGCGCCACTGTGTTCTCCAGAAAATCTCGCAGGAACTGAAAGTCCGGCACAAACCGGTCGCACGTGGCCCGAAGCAGTTGAAACAGCAGATCGATATCGTTCGGTTGGTGACGGAAATAATGCAGGAGAATCTTGACGATGTGCTTCGGCTCCTTCCAGTGGCAGTACTCAACACCCTCGACCTTTTTGTGCAACGTTTGATAATCGTCGTTATACCAGATCTGCTTCAATGCGCCTACCAACTGGCTCTGGGTGGATAACCATTGCTCGTCGAACTTGATGAGTATACTGATGATCTTGATTGCCCGATACTGCACTTCGCTCTTCTCCGCGTGAGTTAAATTGGAATTCGTTTGCGAGTGAGCGAGCAGCATTGTGACAAGTCGCGCTGTGCTGTTGTGCAAGATGTCACGGAATGGCTTACCGTCCTTGTGACTAATAAGATACTCCAGGTATCTGCTCCACTGTTGATCCTTGATATTGGTGTCGTGAAGAAACAGATTGAGCGCGTCCGTCGGATAACGTAAAAGACACTTCATCAGAGGTTCCCTGAAGGGACTGGACACCTCGACTAGCAGCGATTTTTCAGTTTGCAGGATGAGCCTGCAGAGCGCGTCGTTGAACTTGGGCAGCGATGCCGGGATATCGTGATATATTCCTATAATGATGGTGATTTTCTGCTCGTTCTCGCCAGACTTCGATATACCTTTGTGAGATTGAATCAGGTTCTCCAAAAACTTCTTCACGTGTTGCAGCATTTGTTCGCATAGAGTGACGCTGAAAGTGCTCGGGAAGAGCTGCGTCAGATACGACAGCCTTCTGACGCAATTCAGACTCAGATTTCTGTGATCGCCCAGCGTCAGTAACATAGGCCGCATCATTGTGTGAACAGATTCCATGTCGAGTTGAAAGCCGGCGATGAATGTTTTCATGCACTCAAAGGCCGTCTCCTGCAGCTCAGCCTGGGGTTTTTCTAAAGCTTTGTATAAAACTCCGAGTATCTTCTCCCGCCAACCTACGATGTAGTGGCAAGCCGCCAGCGCTCGTAATGCCGATTTTCTCAGGGGCATTAGATTCGAAATCGATTTGTAGCAAGCGAGTTTATTGAGATTAGCCTCGTCCGCTTCGCAGAGACCCATCACCTCTTGGAAGAACACCTTGTGCTCGATAATGTTTAAATCGATGGTGAAGAGACGCGGGTTCAAGGTAGTGCAGAATGTGTTGCCGTCCATCAGGCCGATTTGTGCGTTAGTCGGCTGATGCCTTAAAAGATGTTTCTTGGGCGGCACCATATCCGCCAGGACTTCCTTATGCGGCTCCATGACTTCCGTTACCGACTTGTTCTGTATTTCGGCGAGCTGACGTAACGAGGCCATGGCCTGTTCACGCACGATCGTGTGCGGCGACGTCACCTGCTTGACCAGCTCGCGGGTGACTTCGTACAAGCTCTTATTTTGCGCTTCTATCAATTCCATGTTGTCCTCCTGAATTCCAGGATTCACGCAGACTCTCAGCATCTTTTCTAGATTCTCTTTTGCCATGTCAATAGCGCCGTTGGACACCTCATCCGTTAAGTCCATCATCACAAATATGAGAGCCTTCAGGAAGACGAACAAGTGATTGAGAACCCATTTGGTAGCCATTCGTTCGAATAAAAATTTTATTGCTATGCAACCACCTAGTTTGGCGTACCAGGCACGCTCGTAGCACAGCGAGCACATTCTCTCCGCTAGATACTCCATGAAAGGCAATTGGCAGGCCCGTTCCTTGGAACCCAGAATATTCGTTGCTGTTTCTAATATCAGTACGAGCGCCAGGTATCCCGCTTTATACAGCTCCCTCTCGTCGTGACCCATTATAATGGCGAGAGCATCGATCAGCACAAGTGGATCTTGTCCTTGCATATCCTTGCGTACCTCCCGGTCCGTCCAACTGAAGAGACCGGCCTGTTGCGCTATGGCGATCATCGTGTAATGTCTCACGACGGCAACGACGGTGGCGAGCACCGAAGGTCTCAATTCTTTGATCTCCGCGGCGACGAACATGCTTGTCAACGCGATTTGTTGGACGTTTCGCGCCACAGCATCGGGACACCTGTAGTGCGGTCCCTGTTGAGGCGGTATCTCGTCCTCTTTAAAACTCCGATGAGTAAACAGGTCATACCAGAGATAAGTAGCGTCGTCCATTTTTAAAGACGCCGCCAAGTAGCAATGTATAATCTCCCAACATTGCTTGCGATAAAATACATCCGTCGTGTTAGATTTTAATGCATTGAATGCAGCTTCGATCACTTTTTCGATCGGAAAATCGATCGATTGGGACACTCCTTGGAAGAAAACCACGACGTTAGGAGAATTGGTTTCCCGATCGTTGTACTCCAGTTTTTGTGGCTCAATCATCATTCTGCGATTTCCGCCGCCAAACTTTCCAAGCACCCTGAAAGCTACGTGAGCTTGATCGGTAGAATTGTGCAGTGTTCTCCAGAGAGCTTGCATAAGTTCGGCACGAATCGGTTGTATGTGTTCATATAAAAAATCCGGCTGAAGGTTATCGACGCATAATTCTAACGTGCGAAGACCCTGACTTACCAAGCAATAACTTCCGTTCAGAGCGGATACCAAGGGGTCCATTAACATCGGAAGATATGGTAGAAGAGAACTGAGACGTACGGGTACAGTTAAGCATAATTCGACAAAGAGATCTTTCATGTGTTGTCTGTGTAAGCCAGATTGCAGTCTGTTCAGTCCCTCTAGCATATTCGGAAGCAACGGTAAGAATTCTTGGTACAATAAATCATGCGAACCACCACCGATAGACCGGAATAAGGCACGCAGCAGCAGAAAATAGTTGTACGGTTCCTTCGCTGACATAGCCAGCTCCATGGCACGATTTACGATTAGGTTCAGATGTGGCCGCAGCATGTGCTCATTTTCGGCGGGAAAGAGCGACACGCTGCCGAAGACGAGTTTGAATAATTTCAAATACAGATTACTCCGTTCCACATTTGAGCCCATCTCGCTCATTCGTTCCAGAAGATATTCCACTAATATCGTCGCGAACGTCGAAGAAACCGTGTGACTTGACAAAAATGAGCTTCCGATTATCTGCAAAGCGCAGTTCTTGAAAATCCTTTCGACCATGTAATCTATAGACACGGAGAAGATCTCTTGGAACGTTTGGGGATTCATTTGCGTAAACACGTTACCGAAGAGATCTAACACCTCCTTCTCTTCTCGCGTCCGTATAGTTTGAGATTGTATCGGTCTGCCTGGCTGCACGGGAACGCCTATCGCTGGTGGACCAATCGTGTAGATATCTAGAGCCGGTAAAGCCCATTTGACAAGTTGTATATAAATCAAAGTCTCTTTCGCTTGAAGCTGATTGGCTTGGGTCACTTCGCTGGTTCGGCTGTTGATGCAATTAGACGTGATGGCCTTCGCACCGTGTACTAAACTCTTCACTAGATTTCTGTAATCCGCCACGTTGTAACTCATCGCTTGCGAGGTCGGGAAACCAAACTTCGATTTTGGTGTAGTTTCCTTCTCTTCATTCACGTCTAAACACGGCTTCGTATCCTCAGTCGTGGTGTCCGCCACGGCGGGCCGTAACTGTTTCGCTTTATTTCGCAGAATTGGAATATAGATCTTGGCGATGGTTTTAAATTTCAGAACAAAAACCAACAGTATGCGTATCAATAGCTCGCGCCCTTGCGTGCTGTTCTCGGCATCGGACCTCTGCCTAACTGTATCCACCAGGTTCATCAGTAACTTGCAAGAAACCATCTGAACGGCTGTGGGTAAGGTTTGATCAAGTAAATTCTTGCCGTACAAGTGCACTGCTCTCGACACGTCACTGAGGGGTAATTGAAGCCTGACATGATGCACTAGATCGGCGAGCGTGGAATAAGCTAGCGGTCTCAGCGCCTCGTGAGCGGTCCAACCGTGGCCGATGAAAATATCCTCGTTAAAGAAGATCTCCATATGAGGAATAAAATGATTTCGTAGATCCGTAGCAAGTATGTGACGGGAAGCGATTACAAGTTCTTTGCGTAAGTGTGCTACTTCCATCGGGCAGAGCGTAAATAAGCCTAGTATACCTTTGACCAACATCGTGCTGTTTTGCGATATTAAATCTTGGTATAATCTTATGACGTAGGCAAGAAACGAAAGCGTTTTGACTTGCGCGCCCATAAAATCAACGAAAACCTCCTTGTTGAATCCGGGAGACGTTCGATGCTGGAGGCTGGGTTGCAGTGATATGGTCGTTATCACAATTGGAACAAAATCGGATACGTCCTGGTGTACATTCTGCTTGTATAATTGATTCAATAGTACTACAATTATCGGCAATTCTTGAAGCACCTTGAGAGATAGTACTGCTTTCGGAATCAAGTTGTACTGAAGATAATAAGAAAATAATGTAAATAATTCCATTCCTTTTTTTTTTTAAATAAGCAATATACAATACTTACTGTCACGACAGTACCATCGGCAGCTTTCTTTTCGCTTTGTATCGCTGTGATCGTGAACGTTTCCTTCAACAGGGCTTCTATATTAATTTCTGACAGATCTTTCACACGTAGAGAAGGACGTGGCTCAAATATTTTTGATAAATTTTTTGGTAACTCGCTATATACCGATTTGACAAATTGAAGAAAATATTGAATCTGTGAGCAGAAAAGAAAAATAATTTAAGATATATTTTAGAAATACATAAGATATATGAGCAGGATGATGCATAGCTTTATATAAGACTTGTAATCAATGAGTCTTCAAATCCGATTTTCATCCTATATATCTTTGTTTGTAACAGTTTGAGAGTTTAAAAGTTGTTTAAAGGAGTATAAAATGAATTGTAAGTTAAAACAAATTGATAGATACATACATACATACATGAGATAAATGAATTATAAAAGAAAGAATATTACTCACTTCTGGATTAAATGTCGGTTTATATTGCTTATGAAGATCGATTATGATGCGTAAACACACCAGCACGTTTTCTTCATTATCTGTCTCTAGTAATTTGAATATAAGAGTCAGGATTTGCTTGACATACTGACGCAAGTATTCGTTGCTTGGTAATCGGTGTATCATTTCCAGAATTAGTTTTCTAACTTGTTGAATATTGTATTCCGATATAAAGTGTGGTTCTCCCTCTTGTAATATCTTGAGAAAGATCTTCATCATGTGATCGAGAAATGCCGGATATTGGGATGAACACATAATGATCTACAATTATATTGTCACAATTATATAAATTAAAATATATTATTTCTCTTTTTCGAGAGATAAATTAAAGATTAATTTGTGCTGCATAAATGATCTTGGTGACATTTGTATGACAGTGTGTATACCTCAAAGTTTTCTGATAATTCTTGAGCTGCCTTCAGTTTCAATTCATCCTTTGAATTTTGATCAGCCAGCATGGTGACATATGAACGATATGTGTTCATCTGTTGAGCTAATGGCTCGTTAATGGGTGCCATGTTGATTGTTGTGACAAATCCTTGTTAAATACTATAGACAACTCGTTAGATCTGTAAATCAAACATTACAATATTAATATAAATTATTAGATTTATTAATAAATCATTACAATTTCAAATAAATTAGCAATACGTGCAGAAACGTACAAGAAAATTTAAATTAAAACTACATTAATTAAAGCATATATAATAAATTACTATACAAAGTATTTGTCTTCCATATTCTTACAGTTTGATTTTTAAACATTTGAATTGTTTTATGCTTCTCGTTAAATAAAGACTATTTTATTTTAACAAATTTATATCAGTTAGATATTAAAGATCTAATACAATAAATATTTATTTGACACAAATATTGAGCTAAAGGAATATATACATGTCTTAAAATCAATGATTCTATGTTGTGTAAACAAGCCTTAGTAACCATTTTGCTCAGCATAACAGAGAATCTCTTTTTCATTCGTAAAATATATATTTTAAACAGAGAAATTGTTCTATGTAATATTTTAATTTTTGTCTAATAATATAACATATGACAATCATCATGCAAACTATAATAAACGATATCAGAATTCTGTGATGTAGAACACTCGAACAAAGATGTTCCACAAACTCCATGTAGTTCACGAGATACTATACTTTTATTGTAGATGTATAAGACACTGGAAACGCAATGCAGATTTCAGTTTGCAGGCATTGCTGCAAGCGATAAGATGCGATCTCGACTGATTTGAATTTCTAACTCAGATATCACGACGCATTTAGAGACGCAACATGGACGAAACAACGATTGATTCAATCTTTTCGGGATCCTTGAAATCCTTACCGCCTGTCAGTTCAAAAATTGTGCGAATATTTACGAGCTCGACTTTCACTGGTAAGTTATTAATAAAGAGGATAATAGAACAAAATAGTGATAGAAAATACATAATTTAATGTTACAAAATTTGAAGAAAAATAGACGAAAGCACATATAAAATTACATATTGTAATGTGAAAGCATTGAACAGCAATGACTACGTTTATTTGATTTATTTCAGACACGACAATGGAAAGAAATACTTTGATGGCTCAGTGCTATCCTAAACTCAAGGACTATTGCAGAGAAAAACACGGTTTAGAGTTTCAGGTAAGACTTCATCTTGTAATATATATATATATATAGCGTATCGAGATAACCCATTTAGCAAACCGTTGCGTACTGAAGTACATATACATAGTAAAACATGAGTTATACATCTTGTATAGAGAAATTGATTTTCACGGTGCCAGGTACCGGTAATATATACATCATTCAACCTTTTCATGTTAATCCATGATAGAGATCAAGCAAACTTGATAATTATATTTAGGTCACATATATATCGTTCAATTAAACAGACTTGAGTAATCGACAAAATCAGACATGTTGCACAAATTATTATTTCGTATTTCATTTACCTAATTAATAATTTCCTTTGATCAATAATAATATAAATTAAAATATCGTATTGTTATTAAAAGAAATAAAAATTTTCCTTACGTAATTTCCTTACGATAATTAAATCCTTCTTCGCAGGTGGTTGATATGAGGTGGGGTGTACGTGATGAAGCCACCGACGATCATATGACTACAGAGCTGTGTATGCGAGAAATAGAAAATTGTCAGAGACTGTCCATGGGACCCAATTTCGTTGTCAGTAAATTTGCTCATTAAGTTAAATGATTTAATCTTTCGAATTTTGAGATAAAAACTATCAAGCAAATTTCATTTTTATAAGAAACAAATATAATAAATATCTTCATATACGCAGGTATTCCTTGGACAGAAATATGGATATCGTCCTATACCAACGTATGTTCTCAGCTCGGAACTAGAGATGTTAAGGACAGAATTGGAGGGTCAAGGAATGGACGTTAGCCTTCTGGACAAATGGTACAAGAAGGATAGTAATGCTGTGCCGCCTACAAGTATATTGCAACCGATCTCGTCTATCCTTAAAAACTTTAACAATAAAGTAAATAACTTTTAGCGTTTAATGCAGCATCTGCCTTAATTATTATCATAATTATTTCTTTCTTGTAATTGTATTTTTTTGCTTGTGTATCTTTAAGAGAATACCCAAGCTGCAACAAGAGGATCAGGCAATCTGGTGGGACACCATGTGCAAAATGCAAAAATTGTTCCGGAAAGGCGCGCAATCCTTATGTAATTCCGGGAAGTTTGACAAGGATACAATGCATAATTATTTCATGTCAGGTAAGGGAGACTCAATACATACAGTATCAACGAATAAAATGCTAATAATCCTAATATCAAATTTAATAATATTTTATTCTAAAATAGTAACCGAGCGGGAGGTGATTAACGGCGTGCTGAACGTAAAAAATACGAAAAACCATTGCCTTGCGTACGTGCGATACATAAACAACATTAATCTACAAAATCTGAGGAAGGCCAGTCTGTTTCTGGATATAGCTAACAGAAGTTTGGACAACGAAGCCTCGAAATTGTTGGCCGATCTCAGAGACGAGCGACTACCGAATAAAATCGAGAGCACGAATCTTCAGAGGTATACCTCCTCCGTACCCGAAAATACACGAGATAAGCTATTTCTATTGGCTATTGCGATTACCTTAAAATCATGCGATGATTTATGCAGATACACGGTGGAATGGATAGGGAGAGAGGGTCTGGATCCTGAAACCCACGGAGAGTACCTTCAGCACTTCATCACTCACTTTTACAGAAACATAGTGAAGCTCGTGGATCGCGCCATGAGGAAGGAAGACAATTCCGCGCAGGGACAAATAATAACCGAGATTTTGCAACACCTGCACGCCTGTAATAATTCTGTAAAGGTATAAGAAAGTTGTCAAGATTTTAAATCTGATTGAAGTATAAAATGTAAAGTATTAAATTAAAATTTGAATGAACTGACGTTGTCATGCTTTTAAGTAAAGTTTAAAAGCAGTTCAAAGAGAAAAAGGTTGGCAAATTATCACATCCACCACAGGTGTTTTACGGACGCGAGGACACGCTGGAGAGGATAAAAAATTACATGCTAGGCGACAGCGATAAGCCATTAGTATTGTACGGGGAAGGGGGATGCGGCAAGACTTCCCTACTGGCGAAGAGCGCGGGTTTGACGAGCAGCACCTGGCTGATTGATAAGAAGCCGGTCAGCATAATTCGATTTCTCGGCACCACCCCGGACAGCAGTGCGCTTACGCCCACGTTGATCTCAATCTGTCAACAAGTGAGTGTTGCTTGTATTTCTCTCCGCGTTGAAAGATGACAACGAAACGTTTTTGCCGCTCTGTTCTCAGATCTCGTACAATTACGGAATGTCGTTTGAAGAGATCCCGGACGATCTGGTGCCGCTCACAGCCTACTTCAAATATTTGTTGACTTTAGCTAACGCCCAACAGCCTATTCTGCTGTTTCTGGATAGTGTCGATCAGCTGACGGGTGCACAGGGTAACAAATTGTCGTGGTTGCCTACGAGGCTACCACCAAACTGCAAGGTAAATGCGAATGCAGTCATTGAATAACGATAGTACGGCAAAAGAAAATAAATTGTGAAAGAAAAAGCTTAAATTTCGAATAAAAATCAAAGGTGTCGAATTTTCCTGTACGAAAAAAAGTTGCAACTTCGGTTAACGTACACGTATATGTTTCAGATGATTTTATCCTGTGCTGCGGAGGAATCGAATCCGATGATTTCGAGAGATTATCAGTTGCTGCGTAGGATGATAGACACCGAAGAAAGTTTCATCGAGGTAACCGCCTTGGGCGAGGATCTGGCTACGGACGTGATAAGGTGAAGAAATGATATCACCAATATTGTTAGAATTGTTGAGAAAAAGATTCCCTTTAAATTGACAAAAAAAATATTAATTAATTTTTCGAACATTCTTTCCGTTTTAAAACTGTTTTGCACGTTACTCACAATTCTTGCAGAATGTGGATGAAAACGGCCAGGCGGGATCTGAATAACTACCAGTGGCGTCTGGTGGCGAACGCAATATCGAAATGCTCCCTGCCGATCTTCGTGAAGCTCGTGTTCGCGGAGATTTGCCGATGGCGTAGCTACACGAAACCGGCGGACACGCACCTCGCCAGCACGGTGATGGATAGCATAATGATGCTGTTCGAGAGGATCGAGAAGCAGCATGGCAAGATCCTGGTCTTCCACGCTTTGGCTTACATCACGGCCGCCAAGTCCGGCTTGTCGGAGTCCGAGCTCGAGGATCTGATCTCCCTGGACGACAAGGTTCTCGACGACGTCTACCAGTACCATTTGCCGCCGGTGAGACGCATCCCGCCTCTGCTCTGGACGAGAATACGAAACGACCTGCCCAATTATCTGAGCGAAAGAGAAGCGGACGGCGTGAGCGTGCTGAACTGGTATCACAGACAATTCAGGGACGCGGCCAAGGAGCGTTACTTCAAGAATATGAACATGGCGATGTATTTTCACTCGATGATCGCGGACTATTATCTGGGAATTTGGGGCGGTGGCAAACCGAAGCCTTTCAAGTACACCGAGATACAGAGACATCGGTAAATACAGTGTTACGACATTATTACGAAAAGTAACGTCTCGAATTTAAATCGATCACTTCATGGCATAGACAGCAGAATAACTCTAAAACAGAGATTAAGATCTCTATTTTTTAAATAATAATATATTAATGACTTATTTAATCTGAAAAAAATATATTATATTAAAAAATTGAATCCAAAGGGATGGTAAAATAGCTGATTTTACTATTAAAAAAACATTGTATAATAAAGTAATAATAATAGTCTTTATATATTACAATTTATAGATTCAATTTAACAGACAAGGAGGGTGTGGCGGACAGAAAAGTGCCGGAACAACCATTGGCATTTTACTCAAAGGAGGGAACTATCTCGAGATATAATTTACGAAAGGTACTACGAAAAATATCATAATAATAGACGAATGCTAAAAATACTTTTTGTTTTATGACTGAAGTTTGGCGAATTACCATTTCATCTGATAAGAGCACGGCGGTTCAAGGATCTCTTCGAGAACGTTTTATTCAATTACGAGTGGCTGCACGCTAAGCTAAGCTCTTGCCCCTTGCAAGCTGTGCTTTCTGATTTCGAAGACGCGTGTAACTTTGTTGACAATCAAAGTTTGGTCAGGTAAGCCGGATACCTTCTCGGACAAGGCAAAAATTTAACGATATTCTAATTTCATTATATGTTTAATTTATAATTTTATTTTTCTTCTCGGATATTTTTTTTCTAAAACATAATTTTCGAATGCCCCGATTTAGATAATTTAATTTTTTTAGATATTTTATAGATAATTTACGGACACTATTAATTTTTTGATATTCTTAGTAACCCGGATTATTTTTTCAGAGAACTCATGTTAGTCGCTGATGCTCTGAGATTAGGCGGTGCGATTCTGGGAAATCATCCTGACATGCTCGCGCCGCAACTGATCGGTCGATTGCTGCCCGAGATCGGGGCAAATGTTAATGTGCGAATGTTGCTCCGGGCATGCGATCACGACGGCGTCAAGAATTGCGCTCTGCTTCCTCTCTATCACTGTCTGCACACACCTGGTGGACCATTGAAAGTAAGTCCATACGTTCATTTATACAGCAAGTTATTTAATTCAATACTTTCGATCAGGGAGAACTGTGACAAAGAAATTGTCAAATAGGCTGCATAAAAACTATGTTATGTTGATGCAACGTATAAGAAATTTTTTGTCTTTATGAAGCTACGTAATTGATTTGTTATAGAGGGATATCTCTGAATCACGATATTATTTTCTAGTACTCGTTGGAAGGCCATCAATTCGCGGTATTCGGATTTTGCTTAACGTCGGATTATCGCCACGTAGTATCGATATCCAATAAATTTATCACCTGGGATCTGAGTACCAGCGACATGGCGAGGGATGTTAACCCCGGTGTGGAGGGTATAATGCAACGATTGGTCTTAAGCCCCGACAACAGATACGCTGCGGCTTTTACGACCAACTATCAGGCATGACAAAGCTCATTTAATTGATTCCAAGAAAGTATTTAGATTTTCGAAAAAATAAAAAAATAAAAATTTTTTTCAATTTAAAGTTAAATGAATTTTTCTTTATTTTTACAAATAAAGAAAAGATCTTGAAATTTAATTCATTCATATAAGTCTCTTATTAATTCAGAGTTTCCCAATGTTCAAACGTTTTCGTTGAAGAAAGATTAGCTTCGAATCAGTTGAAAGATACTTCACGGCATATGATTTTTCGTAGAGTGTCGTTTTGAATACCCTGACGAGCGAATTCGTCGTCATCGACAACCCTTTACCGAACGAGGATGCAGTGTGCGGCGTGCATCTGATGAATCAGTACGCCTTTATCTACGGGAAGCTAGGCTGGTGCAGATTCGACCTGCGAGGAAACCTGCTCGATAATCACAGCAATCCCGAAGATTCCAACAAATGGCCGATTTTGTGTAAGAAATAGATTATTCATCCCTCCTATATGTGTATTTCCTATATCATGATTTTCATTCTTTCGTTATAGACGTGGAGTACACGAATCTGGATCTCTACAGAATTATATTCTGGTCGGGCAGCCTCGACGACACGCGTATGCTTTTGCATACTTACAGGAAGAAGGCATCGTTAGAGCCGTTTCAGTTTCACAGGTGCGACGACAGGATCGTTATTGACGGTGTTATTTTGTCGTATTACGTTGAATGACTCCAGTAACACTGTTATTGTTTTTTTTTCCAGTGCTTTGGTCATGACCAAGGACAAAGGCACTTTGTACGCGTGCACGAGCAAGGACGATTATAGAATCACGAAGTACAGAAGCGACGAGACCTCGTCTTACTGGGAAAAAGTTTTCGACATGCCGCGGGCGTACAATGACGACGTGGAGTATCTGTTACAGCTGAAGTTGGACGGGGAGGAGGAAATGCTGCTGGCGACGACCGGCAACGGGTTCATCGTGTGGTTTCTGGAAAGTAAAAGCGACGCGCATGTTTTAATGTTGCCGAACGGAGTGAGGAACATCAGTACGCGTATGATGTGTTCGAACTCTGTAATGGTCAGCGGCACCAAGAATTATGCTGTTGCTGGTGTGAGGTACGCGTTATCTAAGAACATCGCCGTTTTTTTTAACTCGAATCCTTGCAAACAAAGAAAAAAAAATGAAATAGGGACGCCTCATAAACAGAATTTAATAATAAGCATTTATGCGCCGATAATCGATATTGAATCTAATCTTCTAATAAATAATTAAAACAAAAATATCGAGATACAAACGGTTTTTTTTAAAATTATGAATAAAAAAGAGAGGGTATTGATAAACTGTATTTTAAGAATGCAAAGAAATTACAAAAATTTATTGTGTTAATTGTAATGTAATGTAAGAGTTTGACTTGAAGCTAGAAGGAAATTCGAAATTAAAATTCTAAGAATTTACATGAAGGACTGTAAACGGCGCATTTTAGAAGACATTTTTTTTTAGTTTTTAGCAGAGATTATTATCCTCCTTATTGAATAAATGCCACGTATTATCGAATTTTTATAATTTATGGAAAAAAAAGGACGAAGTTACATGAGTTAAAAAAAATCGCTTTTCTTAGGAAAAATCTGTACGTTTGGTCGCTCGAGACGTCTGACTTAGTGAAAGTACTGGACGCGCACTTCGCGCGGATCATTCAACTGGAAGCGTTGACCGTCGGAAATTGGAATAGCGTTGTAACGTCGAGCATCGATAGAAGCGTGAAGGTGTGGAACATCAATAATATTTTCGAGCAAGTTCACGTCATCGACAGGCACGAGCTGCAGATAGACATGTTAAGGTAATCCTAGAAAGGAAGAAAAAAAAAGAAGTAAAAAAAGAAGTTGTGATTGTGACGCGTGTCTCACTCTGTGCCGTTTAATAAAACAGCTTGGCCGAGGAGGGCAACTTGGCCGTTACGGTTACCAGAGATTGCGTGGGTGTTTGGGATTTGCTGACGGGTAGATTAATATCGAAGCTGGCCGACAGTCCGCTGGGAGCAATTGTTACACACGCTTGCATTACGCAGAACAGCAAGTAAGTTAATTTACTCTTCCTATTCAAGCCGATCGAATTGATTCCGATAGAATTGAATTTTTTTTCAAATCATGGTGTACAATAAAATCAGGAGTAATTGTCACTTCAGGTATATTGTGTCGACGGAATCGGGCAATGTTCTCGTTTGGAACAGAATTACGGAGCTGGTGCTGTTCAAGGAGGAGCAGAAGAACGTCAAGCAGTTAATGCTGATAGAGAACTCGTCCAAGTTCATAGCCGTTTCGAGGCCCAATAATCTTCCGGGGGTGGAAAACGTGCGGACTACAGCGACTCTCGTCTTGAGAAGTATTCCCGGTAAGGAGAGGTCCTCGACAATTTCGCAGCGCGAGTATCCTCGAGAAATTAATGAATGCACATCTCGTATCAGACGGCAGAACGCTATTCTCTTTCGAATATCCCGTGAGAAGTAATACCGGTACACCCTTCCGACACGTGGTGATAACATCGGACGACGCTTTTCTGGTGGTACCAGCGGCCGACAAAGGCAACAGGGATTGCGTTATAATTTACAGCGCGAAAACGGGCGCGTTGATCAGCAAAATACCTATCAAGTTGCCTGGATTTAAGGTAATGCCGATAAATAAATTATCGATTTCTGTCAGAGACGAGGCAATTTTTTTAAACGTAATTTAAATGAGCAAATGTTTGACGAGATTCGAGTCGGAAGCGAATTAAAGTGACGTGACTGGAGAAATTCGTGTTAACAGGATATTGTGTGTATTACACCGATGCCGAACAAATCGCAGTGGATAGGCATCATCGGTTCCGACAAAGGTACAATTCTTGACATTAATAAGAAGAAGATTATACGCACGATTCCGAAATGGAGCGGAAACATCAGCAAGGACGGCAAATACACCTTGTACGCGCCTAGCAGGTGAACAGACGTTACTCACATTCTGTCACGTTTAAAATTACGTCTTGTATTACAAAGCGACTGAATCTATCTTTTAGAGGCGGCCTCGAACTCATAGAGTTAAAGAAAGGTACAAGCGTGAAAACCTATATACCCAAGGTGGCCGAGGGCGTGTTCACCGTCATATCAATGTTTAATCGTACGGACGAATATGTGCTGTACTATCACAGCGGTCGGAAAACCATCAGGGTCTTCAGGCAAGTTTACATTTGAGGCTAACAATACAAATTAATTAATCTACAAGATCGTAAGATTTCGAGATCCAGCTTAAATCTCACTCTCGCGCCTGACTCGGTACGTTTAGAATAATGAAAAAAAATAATGCTATGTGCGTGAAATATATTCCACAGATCCTCGGACTGCGAGATAATAGCCAATTACAGAGTGCAGGCCGAGTTAAGTGCCATCGATAGCACGCACGACGGCAAGAGCATCGTTCTGGGGACGGTCGACGGCTGCGTGTCGGTACTGGCGATGGCTGATCCGCAGAAACCCGAGATGACGGAGTATCTTGCGAACGTGCCGTCTCGCGACGAACAGGTGCTTTATCAAGACGCTTTAGCGAGAGTGCGTCGATCGATATGAGGTCTGATTTTTATAGCTGAACTGGCTACACTAGTTCAGAGTTTATCTTTCTTCTTCCAATGTAGAAAGAGAAAGATAAACTGTGAACTAGTGCAGCAGTTCAGCTGTAAAAAAAACAGGCCTGCAAGTTCTTCGCGAATTGCACACCTACAAATTGTTAACAAATATTCGAATTGTCTGCCAATTGATACTATTTTGCTCAACTAAAACAAACGACATATAAAATATCCTCTGTTATGCGACATAAAGATAGAAAAAAGGGCGAGCAAGTATTCTCGCGTTTTTGATAAAACATGATTTCTATTCATTCGCAACGTAAATTAGAGAGTTTCTCGCTCCAATATGAATGAGCTAGAAAGACAAGTGCACACACCTACGTTTGTTGGTGAAAGTATCAATTGCCCTTAACGCTCATCCAAGCGTTCCAGTCTTATCTAACGATAAAGTTAACGTGATACATAAACTCATCAACGCTACACGATCTCCGATTTCGCATTTCCACGACAGCATGTACGTTAAAATTCTCGTCGAGGCGCGCTGTGTGGCGTTGTGTTTACATGCACATAAGTGAGGTTAGGTCAGGTTAAGGTTCATCGTCGAGAAAGGCGCGCGCGCCCGAAGAAATTGATAAAAGCAATTGAGAGAAACGTCGGAGACTCACGCGAGGTGTTCGCGCCCGTGATCGTGTCCTCCCGGGGCGGCACTCGGCAACCCAGCTGAGACGTCAATCGTCGGCCGGCGACGGAGGGCGGCCGTGGACCTCGACGGAACGGCGCCCGTCGGCTCCCCGGCCTCGCGACAGTTCCGGGTCCTCGCCTGCCGCGTCGTCCTTCGTGCAACCTACGAGAAATCGCAACGGTCGTAGCGCACCGGATTTTTTGTTTATTTTTCTTTCTTTTCCTTTTCACCCAATGTTGATCCCCCAACCGAGTGTCCACGGCGTGCAACACGCACCGCACGCGGCACGTGTGCCGTGCATGCAGCGGGAGCTACCTTGTCAGAGTGAGGCCGCCATCGAGTTTCCTCTTCTTCCCTTGGCTGACGCGAAGACCTGTCCCTTCCGACGAGCTACGAGCCGGTGACGGTAGCACAACGATTGTGAATCATTTGATCACTTGTGACCGATGAGGATACGAAAACGCGAACCTTGCCGCTCCCGCCTCCCGCGTGCTCTCGCGCGACGTTCCACACCCCACCAGTCCCTCGCGCAAAAACGCAGCGAGAGCGGCGCTTGCGCAAACTGTAGATGGCATGTAAGAGAGAGAGAGAGAGAACAACATCCGATTCCCTCTTCTCTCTCTATCTAACAAGTACTGGGGTGCGTTCAGGAATTCTCGGTGTATTTTTTATCTCCGTTATTCGGAATGTTAAGGATAAAATGATATCGCATCTAGGCGAAAAGCTTCTTGAACGCGGCCCAGGATGGTGTCATGCGAGGCGCGAGATCTCCTCACGTTTTGCATCTATGGCGCAAAGGTGGCGAGTTGCGCATGCGCGGCTAAAACCGCGAAAACCGCGTGAAACCGACGGACACGAGAGATCTCATCGCGTTCTACTCGATTCCGTTTTCCATCTTTCCAAACTTTCCAGTCGCTCGGCTGACGCGTCGACCTTTCTGTTTCAGTGGAAGAAGAAGACCGAGAAGCATCGGGCGGCGATAAAGTTCAAGGCCGCCGCCCGGATCGCCCGCGTGACGCACGATCTGTCCGCGAGCGTGAAGCCGACGAGCTCGGAAACGATCGAGGAAGCGGACGAGAACGCGGAGTGAAAGCCTCCGAAGCGCCGCCGAGAGAGCTGTAGTTGTTAACCCCGTAGTCTCGCACTTCGTAGCCGTGCTTCCCTATATGTAAAAAAAAAAGAAAAGAAAAAAAAACGGACCTCGTAATTGCGATCGAGATCGTCGCGAGATGTCGGTCGTTCGCCCGCTGAAAGGGAGAGAGGCGATTATTGCAAGCCGGAGAACCAAAGAGAGAGAGAGAGAAAGAGAGAGCCCCACGGCTACAGAATTTATATTACATTTATTTATGTCTTTTTTTTTCCCCTTCGTGTAACTCTTCTTACAATCACCCACGCCTGCTTCTTTTTCACTCTCACTGCCTCTTGCCGTTCGAATGGTAAACACCGCGGGCACGGGACGAGTTCGTCCTCTCTCGTCTCATCGCCCCCCCGAGGGGGAGAGACGTCGTCTCTCGCGGGGATTTCGTCGGACGGGCGCCTCGCGCGAGGACCGAGAGGCCCGCCGGCTTTTCCCTAAATCACATTCTCGGCCGGCGCTCTCGACCCCGGCGCGCGGCGCGACGGGATCGACCCGACCGGCGGCGTGTGGTTGTGTGTTGCGGGTCTCCCGAAGGCGTACGCGACGAAATTTCGCGTCCGCGATCTCCTTCCCGTCGGTCGGACGACGACGAAAGGTTCGCCGTGCCGCCGGGAATTAACGCGGGATAATCGCTCGCGACTAGGGCGCGAGCTTCAATTTCGTCGAGCCGATCGCCTCGGCGAAAACCGGAGATAAAGAGGCACGGATTGTCGGGACCGCGTCCGCGGATGAAAGCTCTCCGTACAGAGAACGCATATCGCAGCAGAGAAGCGGCCGCTCGTCTCGTTCGAGAGCGCGCGTCGCGCGGAGACTCGCCAATTCGTTTTCGGCAATGCAAAATCGCTGTTTGTGTACAATATTACAATGTTATTCGATGGAGCGTAGACAGCCGTTGGGATGGTCCTCTTTATCGCGACGATATATCACCGCGGAAAATCGTGGTGAGTTAATTTACTGCCGAGAGTTACGCGGATTACCGAGACTCCACGATGCGCGCTCCAGATACCGACAATCGTGCGTTCTATCCTACTTTCGCGCGGCGCGCTCGCCTTCGGATCTCGTGAGCCGCGTCTCGAAGGCTCTTGAACCGCTTCATACGGGCTCGTGGTCTCGCACCGTGCCTCGTCTACGCGAGAGCTCTCGCTCGGAAGGGGGACTCGATCTTGAATCGTACTGCTGAATCTTCTATCGATGACCGTTCTTGAACTGGCTAAACTGCGGCACACAGTTCGGCGCCGTTGGTGGTACATCGCGTATGAATGTAGTGCCGGTAACGTGACGGATACGGTAACAGCTTGAATTAGTCCGGCCCGTTTCGCTTTTCCGTAGTTTTTTGTCGTTTTTTTAAATATTTTTTAATTTTAGGCTGGTGACTAATAATTTTACGAAGTGTACGTCTGATTGTATTTATAAAATGCACATGCGATACTGTTAACAATACTCGGATTAAAGTCGATGCGAAATTTCCGTGTCGAATATGCGCTCCTGTTTCTGCGTACTTTTTTTTTGTCTCCGTTTTGAACGAACGACCGGAGAGCGATAGATGCTCCGATAGATGCCGATTATCCGCGCGATATAGGCTTAGCTAAATTATTCTGCAGTTCGGGCTATTTTTTGTTTTGGTATTTCTGTTAAATCTTCCTCCTGTTCAAGTGTTGAGACTTCTTCAAAAATATGCTAGCGATCTTGATGACAATAGTGCCTTGCTGGACTCTTATTGCAGTTCACCGCCCTTTTGCGTTTGCTGTTGCTGTTGATCCCGTTGTTGCTGCGCTTGTAATGTATCCTTAATGTGTTTCTCAACCTGGGGAATAAACGGAACGTGTAAATGCGAAATAGATGATGTAAATGTAATAAAGAGAAACGATCATTATATCTCTGGTTCAAAATGTTTGTTTTACATTTATATTTTTATACTATAACTTTTTGTTATATTTTTATATTATATTTAGCAAGAAAATTGAAAATTCCAGTTTAATTCAAACGCTCAAATTTCCTTAGAAGTTTCAATTAAAAAATTCATTTTTATTTATCTATTATTTTGCTATTATCGGTGAATGCTTTAATAGCCATTTCTACCAATGGAGATTAACTTTAATCTTGGCTTAACTTATTTTGTATCTTTCTCCAGATCTAAGAATTAGAAAAAGATAAAAAAATAAATAAAATCGAGATTAAAGTTAATCTACATTGGTAGAAATGGACCTAAATTTTCGTTCTATTGTCAAACTACCTTATCACTAGAAAACGAACGTTAAGAAATTGGTAAATTAAGAAACGCATTAAGCATGCTGCGGTATTTCGCATATAAGTGTAAGACTGCTTATTTCATTAATACGTACCACTTTTTTTACATGTCTATATGCACCGGATTCTGTGTTTCCATGAACATTATCCACTTTGTACGGCGGTCTAATAGTGACATTATTAAATACAACAATATTAGCTCCATTCCACGTAATGTCCTGAATTGTTTTTGAGATAGCAATAAAGAGCTTCTGTCCCTCTGGAGATACTCCGGCCTGCAGAGCCATTACCAGTCTCTTCTTCTCATCGATCTGATTACGAACTCTCGTGTTTAGCCTTTGTAAATTAAGGCTCTGTGGTGGTTCACTGGTAGTAGGACTAACTTCACGTGTCACTTGAACGTTGGACACGAGGGCTAAATTTACTATATGTATATCATTTAACGAGGCTCTCCCACTCGACGACGGAGATTCTGATAGGCTACTGTTAAGGAAAAACTATTCTTTCAAATTCTATGACAGATAAGATGTATCGATTATCAGTTAGATAGACCTCGGTAAAATTTGAGCAACTGGTTTCTGACAAAATAATAGAAGCTCCGAAACATCTAAATTCTAAAGCATTAAGAGTATTCCAATATTTATTCCTATTAATGTAATCATAACTTCAAATTCGTATTATTTATCTTACGGGCTTGCGAATTTTCTGTTTACCATCAGAATGATGCTTCGAATGTTCAATGTAATATTGGAATTAATAAAAAATCGCCGTTACATCACAGATAAAACTACTCGTCAATCGAAAACCGTGCAAGACAGCCAGTGCACCAGCGAGCGGGATTCATCGTCGACGACGAGCGTGCGGTCACGTGCTCGCGAGACCGATGGGAACTCACGGGAAGCCGCGAATCGCGGGTACCATGTTGATGACGAAACACGAAACGCGACCGGCAACGGAACGTGCACGCACGGCGAGGACGGACGGGCGGGCGGGCAGGTAGATAGGCAGGTGGAACCGTGGAACAGCATGGTTGACGATGGGCGGGATGAAAACTAACCTGAATCGCGCGACCCGAGTTGCCGCGTTCGTCCTGGCCGGAGTCGCGAGACGTGGACGTCGCGCACGTCGCCGAGTCCCTCGCGGCGATCCACGAGGCGGGCTCGCGTTAAGCACGCGGCGCGAGCCGCCGTCGCCGTTGTCGCCGCGACGCCCGCTATTTACATTGCGTCCCCGCGCGCGGCGGCAGAAGCGCACGCGGGACCCCCGCCACCCGTTGTCGCCGTCGCCGTTCTCGCGTGAAAAGGATACTTAGTATCAGCATTTTGGTCTGTGGATCGAACGCCAACACCTCACCCTCTATCTCCTTCTCATGACAGGTTTTACAGAGCACCGTGCTGCCGATGCTGAACCAGTCGCTGGCGCCTGCCATTTTTCACTGCCCACGGGCACCTCGCGACGCGCCGTCCCTCTCGCGGGCCTGCGGACGTCGTGTCGGGGAACCCGCGCGTCATCTCGCGGTCGCGAGTGTCGCGACCCGAAATTGGCGTGGTCCTCCCGCCGTTTCCGAGAGATGACGCCGGCGTGTCGGTTTCCAGCGGCCATCTTGGTGTTTCGTGAATTGGCAGTACTGACTCTTGTCGTGGCCGGCGCGGTCGTTGTCGCGTTCGTATTGCCGCACCGCGTACCTTGCGATCGCGTATCGCGTCCGAATGTCGCATCCAACATGCTCCCGTTCCGCGAATCGTCGGCGTGTCGTTGTGCCGTTCGGCGGCGGGATGCACAACGATCCTGGTGTCGACGAACGTGTCCATTTCCGTGCGGAGGGAATCGGCGGGACGATCTCCATACTCCAAATTCCTTGCCTCGTCGAAGCGCATTGCAATTACGTCGGCCGAAAGCCAGGTATGTGTACACCATGCACTAATGTAATTAGCCGCATCGATTAATTACTTTCCGCAATAATTGTAATTACTATATAATTATTTGGAATATGTGTCGTATTAGTTATCTTGATATTAATATTTATTAAGAAATAATTAAATCTCGACGGGATTGATGTTTTCGATTGCGATTATATCAAAATGTAGGTATAATAATTATTTGGAATATGTATCATATTAGTTATCTTAATAATAATATTTATTAAGAAATTAAATCTCGACGGGATTAATATTTTCAATTGCGATTATATCAAGATGTAGGTATAATAATTATTTGGAATATGTGTCATATTAGTTATCTTAATAATAATATTTATTAAGAAATAATTAAATCTTGACGGGATTAATGTTTCCAATTGCGGTTATATCAAGCTGTAGGTGTAGATTACGCGCGTAAATTATTTTTCGTTTAACATGTAAACGACAGTCCGATTTCGTTCCCGTCGAAGGCGCGATAAAAGTTTTCGACGATCGGCGGCTATACGCAACAGCGCTAGAGATGATCTTTCTCGCCGCATCATATCTCTTTTATAAGTCGCTCTTCAAACGCTCGCCCGAGCGTGAAGCGACTGAAGACCGAGCGTTTTCGAGGAGTAACGATATATTTTTGCCATCGCCGACGCGATTTTTCGAGCGAAAAATTATTGACAAAAATCAACTTCGCCCTCCCATGCTTTTGGCACGGATTGTACGACGCCGGCGTCGTCGTCTCGGTGACTTTTCGCGGCATTTTCCTCGGCCGCGCTCGTGCGCGTCCGCCGGCGCTCGGCTTGGCGGGCAGTTCGTTGTTCGCGCGGCGCGTTCCGTTTTCAGTTTACAATCGGCGCGTAGATGAGTCGTGTCACCCCGCCCGTGGCCGGGCCAATTTTCTCGCGCGACACGCGGAAGTCTCTCGTTTTGCCATCCGCTCGGATCATCGTCGCGCTCCTCCTCTCGCGCGTCCCTTCTCGACGGTGGTGCGGCGAGAACCGGAACGTGCCGTCGCACTCCGGAAGTTTCGCGAATCGTGTCGAAAGTCGCCGGAGAAGTCGCGACGCCGCCGCTCATCTCCGCGCGAGTGAAAACGGAGCGGCGGAGTGACGGTGTGACCGACGACGGAGTGACTTCGGACCGGAAGCGCAAAGGTATATATACTGATTCTCTTTCTCTCACTCAATCGAATTCCTTCGTTCTTTCGCGTATAAATCGACCGAGCGGACAGACTTAGGCTTTAATTAACACGCGAGTTGACTCTCCGCCGACACTGCTTATCGCGCGTCGTTATAGCATAATATATATACTTATACATGCGCCCCGAAATTATATGACGTACATGACATAATGGGATCGCTCGTGATGAATAAAACATTTACGACGGGCGACGGTGTGCCGCGCAATGCGATATGTGCGGTGATAATATCACTTTGCGTGTTGAATATTAGCGCCTCTCTCTCTTTATCACAACCCTCGCGTCGACAAAATAAATTTTCGATCGGGGAAGAGGACTTCATTCTCTCTTCCGGAATTCTTCGTCTTCACCTTCTCATACATTTTTGAAGCTGCAAAACAAACGAACTTTCCGTTCTTCGGGATCTACTTCATTCTTAATGTCGTCTTCCATTTCACGGACGAATGCGGTGTTTCATCATGTTACATCCTTATTCCATAGACTTTTCGTGTCACGCGTACCTGTTGATTCCCGATTTCGCGAATCTCTGAAGGTTTTTCTGCTTTTCTCACTAGAATTCGATATATATCCGCGTGATGCGCATAAATTCCATCACAATTCTCGGTCGTGCAGTTTCCGTAATGGGCTTCCAGTCACGCGCGCGGCCTATCTCGAGCTTCTCTTAACGAAGTTAATACTCCCCGTTCGCGATTATGGAGATTTTTTAAATTAATAACAGATTATTACGTTCTATTAAAAGAGACCTCTTGAGCATTTAACGGAATGTGCCTGTCTTTCTCGAAATCTTTCTTCCGTTAATAAAGTCCTTTTCGAGCAGCTTGTATATACACTCCGCGTTGCAAAATGATATGCGAGATTAATATACGCTGCTCCTACCAGCGGGAAAATATTTGATCGCTGCGAGTTGACTGCCAAACGGGTCGTTCGTTCATCTTCCCCGACGTGTTTATCTCTCCGCAACTTGGCTCGTGCGGAGGGATTCATTTTTCTGGATAGAGTGCGGAGAGTCGCGCGGACAGTAGCGGGAGGAGCACCGTTTTATATATATACATATATGTATCCCGCGTCTATCACGAGATCAACGCAATCGAAGATTAATGAGTGACGGCTGTGGCTCATTGTGCGCGAATCGTGAAATCTGAATTTGAGTACGCCGGGGCGAAAGGTGGGGCGGAGGGGGGAGGGGATAACGTCTGAAAGCGGAGCGGAGATTCCGCGGAGATTCTCTCTTGCCGTTATTTACCGAGAAAAATATAATAGAATACGCGGGTGGTTTCTCCTTGGGAGGGAGGTTCGCGGAATTGTGTGCACGAGACGTGGAGTGTATTTTCGCTTCTCGTGTGTAATACTTTTACGTCCGAACGAGTGCTCCTGTCACTCCACCTATACATGCGTTTGCCCCGCGCTCTTATTTGCATAACTCAATATTTTAAAAGTTACGAGATATCGCGAGAAATTTTGTCTGGAGAAGACGTGGAAGAGACGTTATCTCCGTAACGAGGATGGAGGCTTCGAATCACGCTTTTGCGCTGAGGCAAAAATACGCCTCGACGAACGAATGTTAGATCTGACAAACGTCAAATATGTGCAGCACTTCGAAAAGTTAAACGCCAGCTGGGAGTTAAATGATAAATATTAAGCTCTGCCAAATATTAGATGTGTGCTCGTCGAAGAGTTTAAACGATGCGTATTTCAATAAATACCAAGTGGATAAACATCTCGGCACAATCAAGAGCTACTAGACCCGTTCATCAATTTCTGTGACTATCAAACGCTTGTGAAGAAGCAGTTAGACAGAGCCGCTACTTAATCCTCCTTCGCTTTGTTCGAAATTCGAGAGCACTTTAGATTTGCTTCGTAAAGTTGAAAGGGTTCCTATCGGGATCATTTCGAAGCCCTCTGGCTCTCATTTAGCTCGCAGCTTCATTGTTGCTCCTCTTGATCCGTCCGTCTTTGAAGCGAGTTGATTCACCTGACGTTGCGGCCCTTCAATAAAATGGAGCGCGCTTAATGAACACGAGAATTTCACGTTTTTCTTCCGTTCCGTCTCGAGTTGTCACGAGTTGTTCTAATTTTCTTGTAATCTCTCTGCTTTTGTTCTCGCTTAATTTCGCTGATCGGATCCGTGGAGGACTTCTCACCTGTCGGCACCGATCCGACGGAACGAACGTCGTAAAGCGAAAAAAGAAGAACGCGTTGCGGAAGTCGTTCAAATTGACTCAGTCGATTAAATGGATTGGATTAAGTGGTTAATAACATTTATTTAGAAGGGACACGAATTGCCGGAGTGACATGGTAAACGGGCGTGATATACCCGACACGTTGCGAGCTCTCTCGCTCGCCGCGTCGTCGCGGGCGAGATGGTCAAGAATAGATCTAAGCAGCCTTCTCATTCAGTTGTTCTTTATAACCGCACAATATCCAAGTCTTCGTCATACTTTAACTTTACACTTTTAACTCTAACTGTCTGAGCAGCGGCCAACGTAAAACGAAAATGAAAGCGTTTTCTTTGGACATATAATTTTTATCATCGATTTTATTCCGCCTCGTTTCGTTGTAATACTTTCCGCAACAACATCAGGTAGTTATGGGCGATTTTCTGAAAAAGGAAGACATAAAAACTCTCGGTAAGGGTATAAGGAGCATATAGTACGCGATTCATGTACATCGTTACGAGAGGCAACAAATCATGATAATGTCCGCTCTTTATACAATTGCCGGCTAACTTGGCCACATAATAAATTCTATGGAAACTTTGTTACCGCAATTGCACAGTCTTCAACTTTGGTTTTTCATCGTATTGTAATATTCGTTATATTACAAGTATTAACGTTGTTTGTAACAGTCGAAAATTTCCATTAAAATATTATTGATAGAAATTATTTATATATAGATTCACATGTTTTATCCATATCTTTTTCAAGACGTTTGTTATAAAATTACATACTTTTATGGGAAATTTATATTAGATATTTATTTTGTATTTTGTAGTGTCACTGTATTAAATTTATCACGTTGAAATAATATAAATAATAAGACAAGAAGTTATATTGAAAATTTATCGAGTTACGAGCGTTTTATTGCGAATAAATTCAATACAATTGTTAATATCCATGAACGTTGGAAAACGGCGGAAAAAAATTTCAAGTGAGACACATTAGAAAACTGCTTCGGGAGAATTTAAATAAAAAATGCAACGTTTACTTGAACATGACTTGCAGACGATGAAAACAAGTTGTTTTGCGTTTTAAGTAACAGCGTTCAGTTACAACCAAGACTTTAAACCTTAAGAAAACATTTTGAGATACTTTTTCGTTGAGTTTGTTAATGGAAATTACCGTGCAACATGATATATTAACAGATAATTATCGCGAAATGCGGAAAATTTTTGCTTTGAAATACAATAACACAAAATAATATGTTTCTTCTCTCGAAAAATTTCGTCTCTAGCTGGAAAAAACATATTACACGAATATTCAGTTTTCATATTGAAATATCGTATATTCAATTTCACGGAAATAAATTATTCCGTCTTGTTTTTCTCTCATTTATTTTAGCGCGGACTGACAGATATTGACAAATGACAGCCACGAGATTTCATCGCTTAAAGGTCCACGTCGATCTTTTCCGTCTTCTAGTTTCTTTTCTTCCTTCCGGTTTCTTTTTTCTTTTCTTATTTTCGTTTTTTTGTTGCCGATAGATACGTGTACGAGCAGGCTATTCGTGACGGTCCCTGCATAAATAGGTGCATGAGCTTACACGGGGCACGTGATATTTGTTCGCTGATATAAGCCGACTTTGCAGTTATATTACAGGTGCGACACACTCAGCAAGGAAGTGAAATTAGGGCAAACGGAGGATACTCCCCGGCGTATCGTTTTCGATCTCGCGATAAAGGACAGGAAGGTCTCATCCGGAAATTGATCCTACATTGATATAATCTTATGCTATTTTTGTCGCGAGTGCGCGCCGTTGCGTGCGGAAGCGCTTTAAGATAATATATCTGTAAAGGAAGAACTTTTTTGACACACACACACAATTTATAAATTTAGTAGAAGATTTTCCAACCGGATAATATATTATTACTACCGTTGAAATATCGCGTTTATGTCAACGATGTGAAAAAATAATTTTTAGGATTACTGTTAAAATTAAAATTAAAATATTTTAATGTATCTGATGTGCAATTACGTGTACTATATTTATTTAACTTTGTTATAATTATTTTTTACTTGTTTCTTATTAATGTTTTTGGCAAATTAATTAATTTGTTTTTAAAGCTATTGAAAAAAACTTTAATTGTATTAATTGTTCGAAAACTTTTTTCTCAAAACGAAGGAGTCAACCTGTTAAACTTTTTTTCTAGATTATTCGTTTGGAAAATGAACGGTCGTGTCTTTTAACACATTTACAAATAGCACAGTAAATAAGTTTGTTAAATAGATCAGAAATTTAGTATCTCTTAGCACTGGCCTCGACTGTCCGAGTGAAACAAACTTTGGACTTTGCAGTCAAAGCTCGAGAGTTACCGCACTCTCGCGGTAGTGTGTATTCCTAGAGTTTGGTCCACTATAGAGCTAAAAACGTTTCTACCCTTCTCAAAAGTTGCGTCTACACGTGACAGGCAATTTTCCAAGTTATTTTAAGAATATACCTCTGTAATAACCGTCATAATAGCGCGGCAAGCGGTATTTTTATATTTTTCACGAGACTCATTTCGCATAGTGTCAGTTACATTAACAAGTGAATTTAATAATCGAAGAAATGGCGACAATGAGACGGCTAGATTTGATATACATATTTATTGTCAAATAGTTCGCTAGGTGTGATGCATTTACGGTCTGGAAAGGAAACGATAGGTCCAGAATAATCGAATAAACGGCATCCTGAATAAACGGTGAACAGGCGAAATACAAAGGCCACTTGAGTAAATGAGATATTCGAGGGTTCGAAAAA